TATTATCAAAGAAAGGTAAATACAATGTTCGAATAATGGACATGTGGTACATCGTGCTTATAAAGATATGCCTGTATCTTCATCGTGTTATAAATAAATATTGGCGTGGCTCCTTCCATGCCGCCCAACGATGTCCCCGATGAGAGAAAAGTGGGCGTGGTCGGGCGCCTCTCAAAATATTGCGAAAGTGGTCCAGAGGGCGACGCCCCGAAAGTGTTTACAAGTTAGGGTTTTCAAAGGCTTATTTAATCGATTTTAGAGTCACTAATATGTAGAAAATACATATCATTTTTTTTCTCCCCGATGAATTGTGTTTTTTTCCCCTACTGGGGGAAAGCCCTCACCGAAAAGGGGTGGGATGGGGAGAGGGCCCTGTAACCCCAGCCCCAGCTGTACACAATTTTTTTAGGGTGCAGTATGGCGCTTATTCGAGAGCTGCGCTTACTGTACTAATATTGGCGTCGCGCCTTCCATGCCGCCCATGTTACCGAGCTCGCTTATTGCTGCATTTCGGTAGACCTCATAAGCCCTACATCATCGTAAATAAACATTTTAAAAAGGTATTCCTGTATTTTCATTGTGTTATTTATTTATTTCAACACTTCATTTTATTTAAACCCCTATTCGAGAGCAATCTACAACCAGGAGTAGAGAAAGTGCAGTAAATAGGCTCAAAATACAACTTAAGTTGACGTACTTGGAAAAATGTGATAGACAAGGTGTTGTGGATTTTGAATAATTGCTTGCACTTAATTGTGGGGAAAAGAAACAACGAATGAAGAATATGTTATAATAATCTGTGGAATATATGGTGTGTGCGTTCACTTCATGTCAATCCGGGTCTTCAAATGTTCATAACAAGAGATTAGTTGTACCTTGGTGTGGTAAAAATAGGTTTTTTGATAGGCATGGGGCCGTTCACTTTGGTAACTAGTCTCTTAAGAAGATACTGTATTCGACTACAATAGAGTGATAATGTGCTTAACTAAACAGCCCGGGTACTTGCAAACTACATACGTGACCTGGTACGTGGCTTGTAGTATGTGGAAGAGGATAGTTTCGGTGCTCGGTTAAGCAAGTTTCTGTTTGGTAGTACATGGTAGTAACTTTTGGTACGGGAGATACATCTGCACTTGTGATAATTAAATACCACAGTATCAACTGTTTGGAGTATGTAGCTACATTTATCGGCCCTGGAATTCCACACCCACTTCTTTGCTAATCATCGTTGAATAGATTCAAAACCGAGACTTTAGAATTACTTTGCTAACAAAATGGGATATACGGTGAAATGGATTTATAACAAGTGCATTAAACAATACACGGAAGAGTAAGGGGATAAAAGAATGGAAGGAGCATTGTTTCCCAACCCATGTAAAGTCGATTCGTAGTGCCTTGAATTATTTCTTGATTGTATTTCTCTTCACACTTGGTGCGCATGTCAATATTTAATCCAATGCTAGAAGTATTGTATACTTATAGACTCACGTAACAAGGGTTGATCACTTGTGTTTGTTTTGATACTACTGTTCCGTTTCAGTAGTCTGAGTCTGATTTAGGCTAAGAAGAGGAGGATCCTATTTGATATTGCAAATTTACCGAAGTCTAATGGGAAGCGAGAATGTGCTTTTCAGCCCGTGTACTTGGTAACTGCATGTTCCTATGTCTAGGTGATTTCTGTACACAATTATGGAAGAAATTATCTGAGCTGGTGGGACAGTGCCTCAATTATGTGAGTTTCTTGTTATCTTTTGGTGTTGACTGTATCAATTCAGTGCCCTCTGAAACCACTTGCAACCGTTAATTGGTGCGCTGTATTAAACAGCGCACCGAATCTGGGTTAAAGACAAACCTCAAATTTTGAGCTCCTCTTCTTTCACAAATGAGTCTCTTGCATTATGTTTTCGATTTGTTGGATTGCATTATTGGCAAGCTGCAGACATTATTAAAGCTGCAGACATTGGTACCAGTAAATCTGTATCTGTACACTGTTACAAAGATTGTTTTAAAGTTTTATTTTAATAGGCCTACATATCTTATACTATGCCGTTATTAAGTTTCCACCAGCCCGTGATAGAGTTACAATATTATAATTTATTATTAGGAGGAATCAGTTAAACAGTTAAATATTCACTTCAAATTTCTAAACTTTGTTTTATTTGAATATTGACATGAGCTTTTATTTGGATATGAGAAATCATCATTGTTTGATTCTTGGTAGATATTGTTAATTATATATATATATATAGGCCTATTGTCCTCTGCCAAAATGTTGTTAACATTAGGAACAGTGGTTGAAAAACGCTCATATCATTCCTTGAGTAATTGATAAGATATCATTATGAACCAACTTTAAGATATTTAAAGCTTTTTCTAGTTAGCTTCCATTTTAAGTAAAATAAATAAATAAATGTAGGTTTATTTTGAAATTGTTGTGGATAACAGTGTCTACAGTTTATCAAAGAACCAGATTCAGATTCAAATTTATTGTATTCTTATATCTTATATTGATAAGTCTCTGATAACATCTTACCTGTCTCTTATACACATCTAGATGTGTATAAGAGACAGGTATATATACAGTATATATAATGTTATTATAATGTTATAATTATGTTGATTAAATCAACGAGCAAAGGTTTTCTGTTAAATCAACCTTTGTTAAGCTCAGTATAGGCTTATTCATACATATACAGTATATGAATGTATGGATATAATACGCCTAATGATTTAAGTTTATATAGCGCATATTGTACAGTGCCTCTACGCGCTTTACACCAAATTACAAAACAAAAAGCACGATTATTTAACAATAATATAATACCGGTATAAGATGTCGTGGCAAACATCGCTGTCTCAAGAGGTCGACCATATCCAAGGGGAAATCCCGGTCCCCTACCTATGGTGGCGCGAACACTGTTTCACACTTGCCCTACCGGTAGTGGCTATCGGCACTGCCGCATTGCCGATTTGGCACTGCCGCAGTGCGAAAAAAAAGCTGCTGTTTTCTATCGGCACTGCCGCAGTGCCAAAAAGCTGTTGTTTTCTATCGGCACTGCCGCAGTGCGAAAAGTTGCTGTTTTCTATCGGCACTGCCACAGTGCAAAAAGCTGCTGTTAATTAATCGAATCGATGTTTTTATCGATAGATAACATTATGGTATCATTAATTAATTAGGTCTAGCCTAGCCTATATTATTGTTGGCATTATATTATATATGTTTTACAATTAATAATTATGCCTTGATTATATATTAGG